GTCCTCCGATGATCGGGGATCCTTTCCTTTTGAAGTAGGACGTTAGATGTTCCACAAGTATCTCGTGTAGGCGATGTCCTTCAGCTCGGAAGAGGTCGACCGAAACGTGGTCCGGTTCCGGAGCCGTGGCCGCCTTCACGGTATGAATTGCGGCGGTACTCCGCAGGTTGAATTTTTAATGATATTTCTCCAGTGGGATAAGGGGTCTGACACGGGTGTTGACGAGCGAAAGAGATTGGTGTAGAATATCTTCGTGATCGTTTCCATCTTTTGTCAGGAAGATGTGCGAGTCCCGCCTTCGTTTAGTAATGCTGCCAGCGGAACACGATAGTTGAGATCCCTGCGGTACTTCTTTAGACTTCTCCTTCCCTGTGCTGCTTCCAAGAGTTTTGATTGCCTGCACTTTCGAAGATCTTCTTGCAAAGCTGTTCTGCAACTGGTATTGGCTACCAGTCGCTCGAGATGTGTTCCAGTCGGCAGTCTCAGTGCTCTTCTCCTCTCTAGCAGATCCTTGGTGGCTTTCGAAATCCGTTCCAAGTTCCTTGTGCGAAGCATTAAGGCCCTTCCACCACAGGCTCTCAGTCCTCCAAGAAGCAGATCGTAGTCTTTCGTCGGGTCTTCCTCGATGGGCCAGTCACAAGAGGTTCCTCCAATCTGACGCCGTCATATACGACTTCCCTCCTTTCTCCAATACGGTGGCAGATCTTCTTTTCCAGCTTTCGGCTGACTCGCACTTTTGTTCGAAAGGCGGTGATCTGAGCCACTACTGAAGGATGACACCACTGAGATGTCCACTAAACACCACCTTCGGTTGATGAGAATGTGATCGTCTCCGCATAAGTCGTATCGTTGGGTGACTTCCATGTCCACCGCCGGTGTTGTTTCTTCATGAAAATGGAGTTGTCATGAAAAAGTCGTGCGGCGGATAAGAACCTAACAAGATGGTTACCATTCTCATTCTGGAGTCCTGATCCAAATCTCCCGATCCTGTGCTCCTCTTCTTCTAGTATCTCGATTTTCGCATTGAAGTCACCCACCACGAGCTTATAAAAGGAGTTTTCTTTGCGGATGACTTCCTCTAAATCCTCATAAAAAGCATCAAGTTCCGAATCA